ATTTCTAACATTCCTAACGCTTCTTGCGGCGTCGGAGCATGTGCATGTTAACTTATACAGGAACCTCTTCTATGTGAGGGGTTTTGATTTTTTCCAATTTACATTTAATGTAATTGGGAAGAGGCTTTGCCAAACTTGCTAACGAGAGATTGAAGAGGCTGTCATAAAAGACTGCTAGCCGTGCTTTTTGTTCTATTTCTGTTCTGGCGGGTGGAGGGGAACCCAGCTAGTTTGTGAGGTGTGAGTCTGGTGCGGGTCATAACGCCTCTTCTGACGGAGGAAGCGTGGATGCAAGTGCCTTTGGCCTGTGCTGTTCGGGATGTGCCCCTTGACGAGGAGGTGCTCCTTGATCCGCGCTCTCTGTCTTGTGGCTGGATAAGTGTTGTTCAGAAGGAAGGTTGAATTCTCTGCTCGCTTAAGTTTGGGTTATGGTGTGTTCCCAAATGCAGTGGGTGGAACAGCTTTCCATAAGTTAATTCTAGTTCGCTGTTTATCATGTTTTTTCTCCATATGTCAAATGAGAACTTCAAGCAATCTGAAAGCCATCCTACATTGTTCTTGTGTTGGGTGGTATTTACTCGAGTGGATTGAGTGAGTGAGGAGCTCCAAAATGTCTCTCATTCTCCTCCCCATCAGGTTTCATTTATCTTTGCCTCGTAAATGCCTTGTTTCAAAGTTTCCAGGAATTTCAAGTGGCTGTGCTGCTCCTATGACTATGTTGCCCTTATTAAAATGACCAGAATTTCAAGTTGTTTCAGTGCAGGGGGAGCAAGGCTTTTCTATCAAAAAGTGCTGCCTTTTGTGCTTCCTAGAAATGCAGAGTTTGGGTAAGGACTTGCAGAGGAGCATGGGTGAGCGTGAGGAAGTGCCATCGGCGAGGATGAAAGGAGTCGTCTAGCAGGAAAAGCAGTTTGGTGTAGGGTTGCAGAAAGGGGGTAAAATGGCACGATAGGGGAAAGGCAGCAGCTTTGGCAGTAGGGACCCGTCAGAGACGTGGAGGAAAGCTGAAGCTAGCTGCCAGGTGAGGCTGAGCCCCACATTTATGTGTGTGTGTCCATTTGAACGTAGGTCTCCAATATAAAAGTCTTGATTAATTTTCCTACAGAGATTTGGATTAAAACAAAAAATACAAATGCTGGTTTAAAGCCCTGTGTTAAGGGGGTAATATCTTGGGAATTTGAGGATTTTGGTTAGTTATGCGAAGGGCTGTGTTGTATCCTAATTTCTAACATTCCTAACGCTTCTTACGGCGTCGGAGCATGTGCACGTTAACTTATACAGGAACTGTTATTTGTAGGTCATCTTTTATTCTCTGGCTCTGGTAACAGCTGCACTTTTAATTTTGCCAATTTTCGTTGTGACTTCTGAGGACTGTGTTGCAGTTGCTCGTTAAGCCGAACTGCAAATGAATCCAAGCCTTAGTTTGTTCAAAAATGAAAATAGAACATGCCACGTGCTAAATACGACTTTAGCCCAAAAGGCTTGTTTTGTCAAGGGACAGCGTGGCTGATCCTGTTTCTTCAAACACTGAAGTCGTTCTTTTGTCTCTACAGACGGCGTGCTTGATTTATCCACTAAGAAGAGTCCTTGTGCAGGCAGCACCTCTCTGAGTCATTCTCCAGGGTGCTCTAGTACTCCGGGAAATGGGTAAGAGACAGCAACTTACTATGACCTTTTAAAACTGTTTTCTACTAAGCGTGTGCTTACCTCCTGTTAAAATTAACTTACTTTTGGCATTAACCCTTTGGAGTAACGAGGTTTTTCAATGTGCCTTTGGCAAATACCTTCACCCCACCTGGCAAATAAGAGTTGTTGCAAACTGTTTAACTTGCAGTAAGGACTCGTAATATCTGTTATTTTGGACAATTTAGTGCTTAGCCAAAGATCTTTCCATTACCGACTTCTTGGGTTTAGCGATAAATGGTGTCTATGGAGATGGAAGTTGAGTTACATGTACGAAGAGTTTTAGAGGCTTTGCAGTATGATTTAGACTTTGTTTCACCTAGGGGAAAGTTAGCTAGCAGGAAAGCTCCTTTTAAGGGTAGCGATGATGTGAGTGATGAACCAAGCTGAATTAGATTTGAATCACTGCATGCACTTTGTTAACGTTTCCTACCATAAACCACAACTCAAAAAACCAGAAGAGCGGCCGGGGAGATGGAGTCTGGTAGTTCAGGAAACTTTAAATACAGCTTTGGATTTGCGATTGTACTGGAGCACTGAACAAGTTTTCACAGAGAAAAACCCTGTGGTGTACTACTCTTACCTTAATTAGCTCAAGGTGTGAAAGATGACCTATCAAAAAACTTCTTTTAGGCTTCCTATTTCTAATGGTCACTGTTTGCATACGTTTAGAAACCCTTTACTCTTAGGGTTGAGTTAATTGGGCTGGAGAGGCTGACTGGGAGTAAGGGGGGTTTTGGGTGTTGATGGGAGAATTTGATCTTGAAGCTACTGTGAACAGGTAATTTTTTTTAGTGAAGTACAGAAACAGTATATGGTTTAAACTGCTGTTTAATTGCAGGATGTAGCTTTCCAATAGCTTTTGAAAGACCTGAAATCTTAAACTAACGACCCACCACCAGCACCCATCCCATGTACTGCTAACAACTGATTTAACTTTTGCATTTGCTTTGGAAAGATATTACTGTCTCACACTTCTCCCTTCCAGATTACTTTTTCCATCTAATATTTCTATTATTAGAATACTTCAATCCTTATTTAAAAGTTAGTCTTAATACTCTTTCTACAGTTCTTTAGCATAAACCTTCCCCACCAGCTCTTCTCTTTCCATTCTGAACAGGTTATTTCCAGCTCTGTTTTCCTAGGAAGGCAGCAGAAGCCGCCGGGGCTGAGTGTTGTTTGTTCCCTTGTTTGTGTTTGAAGCGAGGGCCAAAGTCCAGCGCACAGGGATGGCAGGGCCAGCATCTGGCACCGTCCTGATGGTCAAGGGAGGATGGGGCGTACTGGCACCTGTGGTTACTGTACAGGTGTGTGGCAGACGAGGGGGGCTGCAGGTGCTGTCAGGCGTGACCCTCCGTCCTAGCCAGCTGCAGTTATGACCTCTCTTCACGCTGGTGTGCATTCTGATGCTGATACATGCTGCTGAAGGGGCAGAGAATGCACATTGCTTGAGAGGGTTCTCTGGAATAGCAAACTTCCGTTCATTTCTCTGGATTTTGTTCTGAATCTGTGTTGACTCTTGTTACCCACTTCAACCGTGACCTGTTGCACCCTGGAGAGAAGCTAGCAGCACGTGTGTCAAGCACTCGGTATGTCACATGCCAGGTCCTTTCACTGGATGTCTTTTCTCTAAAGGCCTTTTTTTTGATCCCAGTGTGATGTTAAAAAGAATAATGTAGCTTTTCAGTAGTACATCTCCTATCCCTAAATAACGCTGACTTAGCTCAAGGGCTTTACGTCAGGATAGCCTCCCAGAGCGTTAAGGTAGAATCGCTTACTAGTCTCATCTGTACGTGGAGCATGGAAAACTTGGAGGGGTGACTTCTGAAACCAGTGCAACTTAATTACTTAGAGGGGGCTGAGCAGACAAAATACTGAAATACACGTGTCCATCTGCAGCGGTGCTACTCTGTGTCATAGGAAGAACACGTGACGAAAGGAGAACGGTAAAAATACGCACTGCTTTTTCTGCTGTTAACCCTTGGTCGGGTGACAGTTGGAGCTAGGGTCTTTTTTTCCCTAGCCTTGCTGTGTATCAAATGAGCAGCAGGGACACGTATGTGTGCAACTGGTTGTTGAGGGAGCAGTTGGTAAGTCTGGTGTAGTGCAGTGTTTTCCTTTGTGATCTGCAATATCCCAGCTTTCAGATTCGGTGCTTGATGAAAGTCAAGGCAATAGCGTTAAGGCCTGCTAAGCGTATTTCTTTTTGTTGTTTTTTAATCCTGAGCAGCAATTCTTCGATACGATGTAAGTGAATACCGTCCGAGGTTTCCACCTACGTGTAGATACTGCAGGTGGCAGTCATATTTGCATGTTGAACATGTTGCACTTTGGCTTACTCTTTTATTACTGTACTTGTTTAGTGGTAACGTCACACCAGTAACACAGTTGTGTGTAGATCTATGGCGATTGATTACTACTTTGTAATTAAGGTGCTATTTTCAGACGCTTGCGCGAAGCCTTTTCTACTCCGAGAATTTGTGAACCCAACCAGAGACCAGCCAACAGGTTTCATTTTTCTTTGCCCAAAAAGCTTCTCTTTTCTTTTTTTATTTTTTTTTGGTGAACAAGTTTTAAAACTGACTGATGCTGAGACATTTTAAAAAAAATTTAAAAAATAAAAAAAATAAAAAATTTAGAGAAAAATAAATAACACAAAAAGTGATGTTACCCAAGCAAGGCCTTCTAATAAAGGAGTGGCCCCCTCACCCATCCCTCCCTACCTGTGCAAGTCCTGCTCACATCAGTTTCCTTCCATCCAATTAGGCGACCTGGGAGACCCAGCCAGCACCATCCGGAGGGACTACAGAGTGGTGATGGGGTACCTCCAAGAAGCTTGCAGGATGGAACCAGGGAAGGTTATGGCCACTCCACATCTCTTAAAGTACCGCTGGCTCGATCACTCCAGATTAGTGAAGAACTGCTGAGCAGAAACCAGTTTTCTAGGCTGCCAGCCATGGGCCATCTGGACTACAGAATCATGGACAGCACTTAATATTATCCAGGGAGGCTTCTTGGGCAAAACCACACTACGAATTCAATTTCAGCCGCATGAAATTCAGGGGAAATGGTGCACTCAGCAACATCAGTGACCTTCCTTTTCTTACAGAAAACTCTGCCTTTCAAAAAATGGCACTTCAAACTAAACAGGATGGGAAAAAGGACGTGAGCCATTCGTCTCCTGTGGATTTAAAGATACCACAAGTTCGAGGCATGGACCTTTCATGGGAGTCCCGCACTGGTGACCAGTACAGCTATAGCTCTTTGGTAATGGGTTCACAAACGGAGAGCGCGCTTAGCAAAAAGTTAAGGGCTATCCTTCCAAAACAAAACAGGCGAAGTTTGCTGGATGCTGGACCAGATTCCTGGGGCTCAGATGCTGAGCAGTCTACCTCTGGACAGCCATATCCCACCTCAGATCAAGAGGGAGATCCTGGCTCCAAGCAACCTAGGAAGAAGAGAGGGAGATACAGACAGTACAACAGCGAGATACTGGAGGAAGCAATCTCTGTGGTTATGAGCGGGAAAATGAGTGTTTCCAAGGCTCAGAGTATTTATGGGATCCCCCACAGTACACTGGAGTACAAAGTTAAAGAGAGGCTGGGCACTTTGAAAAACCCTCCAAAGAAAAAAATGAAATTAATGAGGTCGGAGGGGCAGGATGTTTCAGTAAAGATTGAATTAGATCCCCAGGGAGAAGCAGCACAAAGTGCGAATGAATTGAAAGACGAGTAGGGATGTTGTGGAGTGCCAATTACTTTGCAAACTGGGTGAGCACTACTGCATAGTTCAACCGCCGCCGCACGCGCCCGGTTCTCCTGTGCGCTGCAATGCTCTGGCCTTCGCAGTTTGGCATAGACTTGTGTGGACACAGGTGAACGGTGTGCTCTGAATGTCACGTTTGTAAATTTTTCTAGCCTGGAATGGCGCAGTTTCCCTCCTTCGCCTGCCCACTCCCCCCCTTTTTCTTCTTCTTTTTTTCTTTTGCCTTTTGCATGTTTCTCTGTAATAGAGAGTTGCGTTACCTCACAAAGAATGCAGATCTGTGGAAGTGGACATCCTGCCTGTAGAGCCTGCCTGAATTTCTGGTGATGGATTTTTTTTCATGCCTGCCTTTATAGAAATAAGTCCACTTGGTTAAACTCATGCTTTCCTAAAACCAGGCATTTTTCAAATGAGAATCAGGCTGTCATTCTTCAAAACGTTTCAGAAATCTTTCCCCCCTCCTTTTCTTTGATCCAGTTGATTGAAAGGATTAAGCTAAATCAAGTTTTTGAGGAATGATACCTCTCTCGAACTCAGAGATTCGCTTATTAGAGGGATAATCAATTGGGTCTAATTAGGCTCTCCACTATTTTCTTTCTAAATCAAACATACTTACCATTCACTGTCTGCTTAGTGCTCACCCGGAGGGGCGGGGAGGGGAGGGAAAAACTTACATACACTACCTTCAGAATATGGCAGTTAATTCTTTGTAACACTACCTTCGCTGTAATTTTGTTTGATACTTTTGAAGGGTGATATTTAGACTCACCTGCTTGAGGATGTAGCCTTATCTCACGGAAGACAAGCTTCTCACAGTCAGGAGCAGTCAGGGTACACTAAATGATGTGTTAGGGTATGCCTCATTATAGCAGAACTATGGTTCTTTGTGACCTTCATGCTTTTTACAGACTTGACTCCGAGTTTACTAAACTACGTGGTTCCAACAACTAGTTTAAACGACTCTAATCTGGGGAAGGGGGATTTGTGTAACAAACTACTGTGATATTGCAAAAAGAAAACAAAAAAAAAAAAGGAAAAAAAAAAAAAGCCCACGAAACGGTGATCTCCAACGTTACAACCTCAGTAGTCTGCCCAAATATCCGCATTGGTGAAGGAGCTTGTTAATGTTCAGGGAAGAAGTAAAACACTGGTAGCCTGATGGGATTCAGGCTCGGCATCATATCTATCTGTAATACTGTCAGGGTCGAACACTCAGTGAATGGGTGTTTCCTTTTTAAATATTACAGTTGCCAGTGGCAGGAATTAATCTTAAATCCTGCGCTTTTTTGTTGTTGTTGTTGTTTTATTTAATCTATTTTGATAGTGGTTTAGCACATGCTAGAAGAAGCATCGGGACACCGTAAAAGCACTCCGTAAACCACAAATCCGGTTTTTGTCAGTATGATGAGATTGTTATCATTATATGGAGATCCAGGATAGGTTTTGTACAGAACTTTTATCTTTGATACTTTCTGCGGGAGTGGTCAGTAACGAGGTGGAGCTTACTGGATTTACCACAGTATGACCAAATCAGAGTTGCTGGTTCTTCAGGTAGAAACAATTTGGTCTTAACCTGTGCAAAAGGTAAATAGGATGACCTTTTTCCTTTTTTGTTGGGTTTTTTTTTTTCCCCCATTTGCACAACCAAAAGAAGCATTGGAGTTTGTGTGAGAGCATTAAGTGATGTCAGTGACTGAAAGTGGTTTCTCAAAGTTTGTGGGAGGGTGGCCTGGATAGCCCCAGAGATTGCTGAATGACTTGGGGAACAGTTGATTCTATTTCGCCTCTCCCCTCCCCAGCAACTTCCTTTTTTTCAAAGGTTAGGCACACCATTGCTGTCGTTTTTAAATATGCACTGCTCATTCCTGAAACGGACTGGGCCTTTGGCCCCAAGGATGCTTTGGTTTTGTTTACTTCATCTATTTTAGTCCTCAACATCCTGGTTCCTCGTAGCTCTCTAGTTGTCATCTTGGCATTTAAAGCAGTTCAAGCTCAGTAGCAGTATCTGAACTCTGCAATACGTTCCAGTTTAGCTGGTGATTGCAATAAAGGCGCAGTTAAATGTGTGGTTTCATCTGCTCTTGGAGGTTATGGTGGAAAGTTTGCTGCAAGTTGAAAGAAACAAAAGAATAAGTAACACGGTTTTACTGTTCAGAGAGGTTTAACCTTTTGCAGTTGTCTTTATTTAAGCAACATGAGTTGAGTTTTATAAAACTTGTCACTGTAGTGTATGTGGAGTGCTCATTTTACTAACCTAAATATTTTGTATGTGTATGTTTAAGTGGGTGACAATCGTGCAGCAGAAGAATGGTGTGCCTACCCTTTAATGCTGCAGTTTTAAAGAGAGTTTGTCTTGTCATTTCAGACCGTAGGCTAAGAACTGTAAATAGATAGTGAGAAGTGAGTACTCTTTATTTGCTTTGGTTAGAAAGTGGGTTTAAAAACAAACAAACAAACAAAACCACAAACCAACAACAAACCAAACGCGTAACTTTTTCTCAGTTTAAATGTCCTGAGACCTGAAGATTGTAATGCTCATGCAAAGCTTTTAAACACAACACTTGATCTGTGATGACTTAATATTCAGGTAACCTTTCTTTTTCGAGAAGCTTTTGAACAACCGTATTTCCTCCAAAGGTCTCTGTTTAAAAAGGAAAAAAAAAAGAAGAAAAAAAAAGTGTAGATTATTTTTTAAGCACTAATTGCATTACGTTGGTAACTGCAATATAAAATAGCCATTATTGTTTTGTGAAGCATGGTTGAGATTAGTTAGTGGTCCCTTTTTAAAATTTCATGAGCCTCTCAAAAAAATAAAAACAAATTTAAAAAAAAGCTGCTGAATATTCAAAAGATATATATTTTACCTTATTGTAGGTTTTGTAAATTTAGTCTGTAATATTCAGGTGCACCTTTTAATGTTACCTTTTTGTTTCAAAGCCCCATCTAATGTATTTTCTCTGAGGTGATTCATCACGTAAGACTAGTATCACTCGAAGTGCTGCAGTGATCACGGATGTTTCCTTTCATTTTTCACTCCGTATTTTTTACAGGCGCTTTCAGTGTAGCTAACTAGTAGTATTTGGGATCATTTTAAATATATGATTGGAATTAATGTTTGTCCATTAGCATGCTTAATTTTCTGCTGACCAGCAGTTTGCATGGCCAAAATCCCTGGTTGACCATATTTTGGTGTGGGAAGGTGTGGTTCACTGCTGTCTTTGTAACAAAAGCCTTGTTTCTCATGTTATTTCTGGTAGTTGGATGCTTATGTTACTTGGATCACTTGGACAGGAGAGAAGGTTTAAAATCTTTCTCCTGCTGCTCTTTTGAGATCGCATTGACGTGTAACATAGACAGACTGCAACCCTGTAAAAAAACGAGGCGTCGTTAGGAGGAGGCCTTCCGGGTATTTTTCGTCACTAGTTTTCTCTTATTCCCGAGAACGTCCATCTGATGTAGTTATTGGACTTAACAGTATTGTTGTGTACTACGTTGATGTAGCTGAAAAAGCCTGACAGCAAGAAACTGTGAATAATATTTGTGGCAGTCTCTGAAAACTAGTTTTTCAGTCCAAGTATCATGAAGGAGAATCCCTCTCCCCTACCCCATCCTAGAAAAGTAATTTTCTATTTTGTGTGTATAAAGTTTTAAGAATCAAGTTTCATATTGTACTGAAGTTTAGGTGTCGCTTGGTAAATCTTTGCTGCAGCATATAATTGAAGATGAGTAAGGCTTAGTGTGGTAGGGGTCCTGGTGTGGAGTTAATTATCGTACAGTTCTGGTGAGAAAGCCCAACATGTATGAAATGTGTCCTTTCCTTTTTATTTGGACTTGTAAGATGTAAAAGTGCTTTTTTAGAACTCTGACCTATGACAAACTATTACCTCACCTTCAGCCAGCTGGATCCTCATTCCGCGGTGTTGTAGGCATCGTTGTGACCGTAATGCTCGAGTACAACTGTAGAGTGGAACGTCTCCGGTTAGGTGTTGTAGGGACACGTTTCTGGACTCGTGTTTATTTCTCTCAAAAGATATTTTATTTTCCAGTCGTTCCCTGATTAATTTTTTTTTTTTTGAAGGCCACAGAAAGTTTCCTTTAGAATTTTTCATTTTTTCCCTGCCGTGCAGGAGAGGTTGCTGCATGAGCGATACAGGTATGCCTTTGCTTTCTTCTTGTTGCAGGCCCCGTCGTTTGGTGCTTGCGTTACCAACCCTATTGCTAGGCCTGGAGTCGAACTCTGTCTTTTCATGGAGATTGGGATTGCTTTTTCACAGTGCAGGTGTGCCCGTAGGAGAGTGCCTCTAGTACGGGAACACCTTCCGCTCCCGCGACTCCTGCGCCACCTTTGTGGCGGCTCTTGCCAGCGCTGGAGGGTGTTCCTGCACATGGGAGGGAACTGCACGTGTGTTTAGACCGGTGAAGAGCTGACAGGGAGTAGTCTGTGCTTTGTCTTGTGGCAGGCCGACATCCGAGCCTAAGTATTTCTGTCACAAGAACCTGAGAGTCCATTGCCTTCCCCTGGAAAGTCACAGGAGCTGGCAAAGCGATCTTTGGGTTGAGTATAGATCCCAGCAACTCTTGAGTTCTGATTGAATGGCTTTTTAGATCCTCTGCAACGATTGTTATACAGGCAAAACTGGAATTGCCGTGTGTTTCTTTCCAGTTTACTTTGAAGTAACGCTCTTAAGATGTCCTTGAGTCGTAGGAGAAGAACACAGAGTCCAGGGAGTGAAGGGAACGCTGGGCTGTTCCCTTTTTTCTCAGAAACAGTGTGGCTACATCTGTGATGTGAAGAGCCCTTTCTGCAGTGAAGACAGCATTTCCACTCGGGGTGTAAGGACGCGTACGCTCGTTGCAGTCCGAACTCTTACGAAGGCAGCATGATTAACCTGTACTGAAAGCTTGTCACAATATTTTAAACAGCTTAAGTTCTCCGCCAAATGTTAGAGGCGGAACGGCAAGGGTTGTTTCCCTCGTTGTCATGAGGATCAGAAACTTCTAGGTTTTCCCCACAAATGTGTCATAACCGAAATGGAATTCCAGGCTGGGTCAATGTTGCTTTTTCTTGGCACGGGTGGATAATGTTGACTAATACTGGCTTAAAGAGCTGTACCGAAAAAAATTGTTTTGAGACTAATTTTGGTACTGTAAAGGTTTCTTCTTGATCTCGGAACACGTCAAAAACTCGGTAATTAGAGCCCTCAGAAACCTGAACCTCTGCACCACTAGTTACATGCGGTTCTGATGGATGTAGCAAATAACCACTACAGTTGTTCCTTTCTAATACCAGCGCATAAACACAACATACCGTGGTGATCATTGAGCAGAGAGAGATCTCTGACTCAAAATGATCCGTAGGTCCACTCCACACGTACCGGAAAAAACTGTAGGTAGTGAGAGCATTCCGGTGCCCATCTCTCTCCCTCTCCTCTTCTGGCCTTGACCGGGGCCGAGCCTCTATACCAGTCTTAGAGCAGCAGCTCTGGACTTCATGTCCTGTGGAATTATGCCGATGGTCAG